TTGCCATTGTGCTTTTTCATTTGCTTAAACAATATTTCTATAATTTCAAATAATGCATCATACTAATATTCTCTTGACATTTCAGTCAACTTAATTTGATCCTAAAATTTTACCAAAATCTCTTTATTCAATCCCAAAAAATTCTACTATAGTTAAGCATAATCTATGACTCCAACTGGAAAAATAAGCAAGGGTACATTCTAGAAAAGGAAAGTTCTTTATTAATTAGCCTCCTATTCCTGGACTACTAAATTTGGATCTCAGAATATTTCTTTCAGATTACATAATTCTTTAGTTATTTTTGTTATATGCATAAGATGTGAACTTTTCTAATGTCTCTTTATACTAATGCAGATGTAAATATTTTTCTATGTTGCAGTCAAAATTAATGCTTACACACTTGATTTAATTCCTTAGGGTATGTAACATTTTGCATATTCTACCTGATTTAGAAATACTATTCCATATGTTTACTTTGGGATATACAATATAGGGAAAGTTTTTCGTGTGTAGTACTTGTATCATTTTAAAGTGTATATATTAAGGGGAAAGTTGGATTCAATATGTTTTCATTATATAAATCTAAGTAAGATACAATGCTTTCATAAAGAAAAAATATACAGGTCGATACTTCATATTTGACACATGATCCAGTAAACTGAAAACCAAAATAGAAACATTATCAAACATCACTGGAAAATGATGTAATTTGAGATTTATTTGTTCTATAAACATTTATGTTACTTTATTTTACATTTCTAGAAGGGAAAATTAATCTTAGTTATGCTGTCATTTTTAATTAACAAAAGTATATATATATCATTCATAAAACTTTCAGTTTTAAAGATGATTATAAATTCATGTTTTTGTGAGGCTGGGGAAGAGACTGTTGTACTTCTATTTACTCTTCAAGTGCAGGACTCCTAACTATGTGCCAGTGATACAAAATAATGGGAAACTGTAATAAAAACAGATGTCACTATCTTTAACTGCTCAATAAATAATGTGAATTTAATGTGTATATTTAATGTAGCATTTTGATTTTGTCTGAATTTGAGAATTAAATAAAACTTTTTGCTTCCTCCTTATTTATTAAAATGTAGCAGTATCTTTCAAACGTATGTCTTAGATTTTTTTAAAACTATGAGGTCAATTTTTGGACTCATTTTACAGTGCAGAGGAGACTGTACAATGAATATTTATAATGCAAGTGCAAGTGAAATGGCCTACATCAATTATACAATAACAAGTGTCTTGGGAATGTGTGTGTGTGTGTGTGTGTGTGTGTGACAGGGTCTCCCTAAGTCATTATGTTGCTCTTTTCTGACTTCCAACTTGTGACCATCTGCCTCAGACGGATGGAGGGAAAAAATCAGCCATGTACATCACAGA